GCTGACTTTTACTCCCTAGGGACTAAAAATACTTTTTACCCCCTAAGAGAGTAAAAAAGCCACTTTAGACCTGCAACGCATGTACAAAAAATGGCTGTTTTTGATGCAGTATGACGACAAATACGTTTATAAGTTTTTAATTTACTTGTTAAAACTCTTTGAATCAAAACTGTTTACAAATTTATGCCGTACAATAAACCATTCTGGTTATGATAAAATATAAACATTGTAATAATTAATACTTATTGCTCCAAAATGTAATTTAAAAACTAAATTGCTTTACGGTGATATATTCGATGGCTATTGATAAGGACTGCCAGGGAACTGTTCTTAAGTAGGCTTAAGTCTAGAGGGTGTTATTTTCACAGGTTGTCATCAAGGTAGCAGGACTTTGGCTGTTTTTATTAAATATTAGTTACGTATGCAGCTCTATGTTAAAAACTGTAGGTATATGGTAAAAACTGGAAAAATGTTTGATGGTAAACTCTTAGGATTTGTTCACATAACGCGTAGCATAACTGTAATGTTTTACAGTTAATTAACTAGTTTTCAAAATCCTCCAACTCTTGATCTATGAACATTAATATATATTTATGTGTATATGTATTAAAAGTATGTAATGTTATACAACAAATCGGATTTTTGATATTTACTTTCAACAAAGCTTTGTGTTAATTTGTATTTGTTTGTCTATGGATGTGTGAATTACAGTGTGGACGGTGAGAAACTTACCGCTACATCCGTGATAACCTCAGAGTACTTAGCTCTAAGCCTCTTAATGGGATGTGGTAACTAGGGTTGGATTACAACTAAGCGTTAATGAGTTCCTAGCCAATGCCAACATTTACCACAAACAGATTACCACGTATATTCAAAAATCCAGGTGACAAATTATACCTTTGGTAATTATGTGCATAGAAAACTCATATGTGTATTATTTACTCATATGTGTACTCGTATTATTTTAAAATATAAATGTGTATACAATTTTAAGCAGAAAGTATGTTTTTCATATCACCTCGAACGAGAAAGCAATCAAAAACAAATCTTAGCTTATCCTGTAATTTTTTATACTTAGTTTTGCAATGCAATTTCACGCAATATTTTATGAGATATTAATTTCAAATGGATGAAAATAAAAACCATAGAGAATTTTACAGCGCATAAAAATAGTTTACACACAACTTCTGACACGTGGATATTTTCGTTTGTTTTTTTATTTAAGATATTACAATAAATTCGATTTATTTGGGGGTTCCACCGTACTGACTATGGTCAAAGCAAAGCAAATAGAACTGGTGGTATATATTATATGGTTAAATATAAGCAGCTGGTCTATTTCAAAACATGATCTTGACCCGCCAGCTCTATTTTTCTATTCTTTTACTTATAAGCAGTTCCTCTTATTATTATTTTAATAATTGCATACATGGTATGAACTTTATAAATAGCCTTTTATATATATTAATCTATTTTTTTCGAAATAGAAATAAACTTGTGTACATGTACTACCTGCGCAAAGGAAATTTAGAAAATTATTGGTTCTGCAAAATACTAACATTGGCAAGAGTATGCCCAGCAAACAACAGTGATAGTTTATCTAAATCATCTGATTCATCGCCAATATCGTTATACTGGCCTGTACAAACCAGCCGATATTGTCATTGGCTGACTGCCAACGCATGTTACATAACTTCGCTGATACTCATTGAGGTAAATTTTGTTTAGAGTAGCCGAGATAACCAAGCTTATCAACCCAGCTTTGAATGTTAAATTAACCTGTATCTTTACAATGAGTAAGTTGGTATCATGTTCATTACTGATGACTGGTTACTTAAAATACTTTTTCCTACAGTTACCAGACAAAGTGGCATTCCTTGTACTGATTATAGCACGCAAAATAGCTAATTGCTGCATGTACTTACTTTTGCCGCACTCATTTACTCTTGCCACACTTCAGGATTACAACTAAAACAACACCAAACAGTGCGTTTTATTAGGAACACGATACGTGTACGCTTGAAAATAAGTTGGCAACACATAAAGATACGATCAGCTGATGCAGCGGGTCCCATTTAGTTTTATTAAGTATTTTTCAGTAAAAGTAACATTAGAAACTAATTACTAGTACTAAAACTTGTAGCATAAATCTTGTAGTATCGTTATTAATTGAACCTTAATTTCGCCAATGTAACATCAACTTTTACTACGTATGTTGGAATTAAAAATACTACATTTCACTTATATTTTCCTAATCTATACCCTTTACAAAGACATTCATATTCCAAAGAAATCTGTCTCTGTACACATTGCTGTTTTAAACATATTTTTACCATACTTGTCTTTTTAGACCCGTCTGACATTTTATAGAATGCATCAGAGTGTTCCAGATAAAAAAAAGGTTTGGAGTGTATTGCAAAAATAAGTAGCAAGCTCTGCTAATTGTAACCTCTTTATGAAGCACGTCTAGGCAAAATGGACAATTGAAACATCAGCCTCTTCCTAGATTGTACTCCAAATAAATTATACCTACCTAAAAAAAAAACTACATGTACAAAACCTTAGTAGTAGCGTTTGTTGACTGTTGTGTAGAAGTCTTCCTAAAATGGCAGCTTTCTCAGTTGAATCTTGAACCTACATTCACCTTGTGGCTGTGGCCCATAGCTAATCATTGAGTATGAGTCAATAATATAAGTGTAATCATTATAAACAGCAGTACTTAAACACTTATAGAAGACCATGCTTTTGAACACTGCAAGTGTGTTAGGACTTTTTATGATGGCTATAATCTGACAAGGCTTAAGAAGTTATTAATGGGCCTGAACGCATAAATGGCCAGAGTCATGGCTCGCCAAACTGGTGTGTTTTGTCAGAAGACAAATGATGAATAAAGATGAGACATTGCAGCCATCCGACCGTTATGTCGGTCTACTGCGCCACACTAACTCCCTTATGTTATCATTTCACTATTGAGTCATTAATATACCACCCACAAATTATCTTCAAAATTCTATAGTAGTACAATGATTGCGTATTTAATATTTTGACATTTGTTAGGTTTGTCAAATTGTAGTGGTGCAGATAGATTTCAATTATCTTTAGGTATAAAATTATAATAGTTATTCATATATGATTACTAATAAATGAATTTCAGAATCTACATTATTTTGTTTTTCATATTAAATTTTTACAAAAAAAAGACAATGAGTGATATTGTCACTAATTTAATAGCAATTTAATACAAATTACAAATATATATTTGTAATACCTTTGTTTAATAACCATGATAACATTTTATTAGAGAGATGTAAAGTCACTGCCCATAACAGTTATTCATTTTATTTATCAAAAGGATAAAAGCCCTTTTTATAATGTTCCATGCCAACAGTAATTGTAAAAATGATTAAAGAATTAATAATTAATAAATTAAATCAAAGCTTTTAACAAATGCTTTGATTTTGAGATATCAAAAGCAGTGTAGTTGTGTTGAACAACTTTTAAATTTAATTGGTTATCAACAAAAATACCTTTGTATGACAATTAATTTATCTACCAAACGGTCAATTTGTTGTTTTTTAAATCTTTTTGAATATTTAAAATTGTTATACACATTTAAAAGGAGCTTGTATTATAATAAACACACGGTTAGAATTTGTCTGCGTACCAACGATAGATGCTTGTTGATTGTTTTAACAAACTACAGTAGCCAATGTTGCTGCGTTCCTGATAGTTTGGGGACTAACTGCAAACACATGCAAATGCCTCTATTTTACAGTATCACCGTGCTATTCCGTTACTGACACTGCCTTTGGAATTTGATGTTACATTGATAAAACAATATATTGGTTCACCTAAGGTTGCCTTTGATTAGTAATTGAGTGACCTCTTCTACTAAGCTCCTATAGAAATTTCTTAAGCTCCTATAGAAATTTCTTAGATCATAAACAAAGTACAATCACAAAGAAAACATCCTTAATTTATAACCTCTAATAGGAACACTATCTTCACCGTAGAAAATGCTCTACTCCTAATATAAGCGTTTAAAAATATTTTTAAAAAATCAAAATATTATCAATCTGGTCTCCTTGGTTGTCCTTAATAAGTCGAAGGATATCTTAAATAACCTTTCTTGGTTGACAAAGTTTTTTATAAAAAACTAACTATGGAATTTTTTTCTATATTGTAGTTATTACTAATGTTGCTAAAATACTTTTTTAAACCTTCTTCATAAGGTTGATCTTATAATTGTTATAAATCTTAAATCTGGATATTATGTAAAAACATTTTAAACATTGAAACTTTTGCAATGTTTTCAATTGGATTTAGGTTTATCATTGACATACCAATTTCTATGAGAATTGATCGTAGTTTTAACGTTGAAAATTTCTTCGTTGATATAGCCAACGTTGAAGTACCAACTCACACTTTGCTAAGAGAAATATTTTGGCGCTTATGTGTATTATTTGGTAAAATATATGCATTTAGGCAATCGAAGTTGTAACGAAAACAACTCATTTCAGTGTATCCCAAAACCATCCCCAACTGAAAGGCCAACTAGTTGATCTCGCAGCAACTTAGATTGGCAATGCAAATTTCATTTTAACCAATTGGGCCTAATAGTAATTCCTTACGGTCATTAATAGACCTACTGATTTGTTTAAAAATGAATCTGAATGTAGCAATGACTAACTTTACGGTTAAATCCACCTTATTGTTGTTACTAAACTTGCTAAATTAAGCTTAAGATAAGCGCTTTTCACAGCTTCACCATAAGTATAAACAATCTTTTAAAGTAATATTAACCTTAAACAACCAATGTTATTAACATAATTTTAATATTTTGACAACATTTCAGCTGTGTAAAGTTAGTTTAAAATATAATGTTCACGTTATATTATTTATAGTAATCTGATAATCAATGAAATTCGAACCCTTAATAAGTTATCGGTGTGGATAAAAACTAACGCAGTTGTATAACAAAACCATATTTATTAACAATATTACCAACTTACGTTTTAAACACATAACTCAGACATTTACTTCACTCTAGCCATAATAACATTACGTACTTCTAAATGAATCGACTATAACACAGTTACTAATGGTCTACCTACGCTACTTGTTTGCACTATTTTGACGGTTAAAATATAGCAAAATTATTTACATATCACATTCAATTAAAAGCTCAAGAGCCAGTCATTTATTTGGTTCTGTCATTTAAGTACATCCTTAATTTACCTGTTATGCTCAATTTTAAAACGGGTTACAAAATTATACGGATCAAAAACGGGGTTTCTTCTGGATGATTGTCCTGTGTAGGTTTTCTATTCAAATAACCATATTCGTGTTACACATCAAAGACGTATCCAAATTCTCCAATCAATATATACTTTCAGTAACAAAAATATATCATAAGAGTATATAAATTATTTTTAAGTGCATGCCTTACCAATATCAATTGTCATATAATTCTACAATTGAGTTTATTTTTCAAACTAAGTCCCACTTGGTAAACAAATTTAAAATATTTTGCACAATATTAAACCATAACTGTATTAATTCAAATTCTGTACAGTTGATCTGTTTCGCAATAACCTGTTGACATATAAACTATGGATAGTTCGGCAGTTGCGGCAGACACGTACATTTGCACCTATACCTGTAGTCACACCAGTGCTCTGTGTAGAGCAGCACTAAGATGCATCGTAGTGGAGATTGGGAGGAAGATCTAGGGGAACTGCCAAACTGCTCCTCTGGAACATGGGGCAACCTGCTTCACTTGCACACTGCGACTTACAACAGGTCTATAAGCATATGTAGGTAAATCCGTTACACATATAGGGCTATATTAAATTAATTCTGAGTGAAATAAACTTCATGTGCTTATATTTTCATTTTTAAACGTCGTTTGATTTTTTTTTTTTGCAATCTACCTAAAACCAAAATGATTAATGATTGCCTGAGGTGTCTAACACCGAATATACGCTGCCATAGCACTTATATGGTTAATCAATATAAACAAGATATGTTTTATCGGACTAAAGTACTTGATCAGATTTCTTAGATTTTACTTCTCTTACTTAAATTAATAATTAATAAGTAGGAATAGGTTTTGACAAAAAACTTTTACAGAAAACATAATGGTTGAATTTTATTATGATAATCAATATTATTAGGCATGTGCCGTTTAGCTTGTGAGTTATAAGTATGAGATTGATAAAAATCACTTCGTCACAAACCGCAATATACTCATGAAGTACAAGTATATTAAGATTATAAAAAGGTATGAAAACCTGATGATGAAGCCAATAGTGTTTCGAAACGCGTAGTCAACAAGACAACCATTGGATTCCTCTGGCAGATCCAATCCATCTTAAAGATCCATTCTACCTTTTTATAATCTAACAACAGTAATCCTGAGGCAAGAAACAACATGAAGACAAGTATATTTACCTGGGACCTGTGTATGTTATTAGGAGGGTGAGGGAGGTCGAAGGAGGCTGGCACGTATGTAGTGCCGGGAACACATTTGGAACACTGGCGCTTCAGAGCAGGCCTTTGTCTAGACCCTCTACACCTCAGTGCGAAACACAGCTCTTCAGCCATCTCAGCACAGAGGGACTGATGTGGCGCCGCCGGCACTGCTCTCTAGATACAACAAAAGTTATTGCAACAACAGTACAACAGTAGTCATGAACAGTAGTTAGGCGGGACCATATCTACAAGGGTGCAAAGCCAAGGCACTGTTCCAAAAGAATGTGCACGAAATATATCCGAAAACTCATTGTTCAAAAGACTTCACTTTAAAAAACCTTTCAGAGTAATTATTTGCTGAGCAAAGCAATCCATGTTACCTGGATCTTGACAGGACTCATGTAGCACAAAACTTGACACATAACTGGGTTTTCTCTCATTTTTACAGAAAGCCGAGACACAATAAATTACGAAAGGTGGTTATGTACTTATTGGCTAGTGCAATCAATTTTTAACAAGTCATATGTATTTAAGTATTTATTCAATGTTTAACACAAAACGTACAGATCTATTCTTTACAGAAAACTATAAAAAAGTGTAGGGAAAAAAGGGAAAAAAACTAAGGAAGAATATCGAAGCATTTGCTTGGTAGCCGTAATTTAAGTTTATATGTTATAAAAAGGTTTTTTGTTACGTAATTAATCCTTACAACAATTAACCTTACAAAAATCAATTCCTTGTTATTTTTGATTTGGCGGGCATTTGTGCCTAGGTTCTCATTTGTAAATCTATGAATTTGTGATCTAGAAGATAGGTTAGTGTAAAATATAAAATATCAGCATCAGATTAAGTTTCTTATCAGTAGGCTAATTTACTTAGGTTACTTATAGATGGATTTAGGCATTAGGAGATACAACAATGCATAAGTTATTAAATTGTGTTTAAATTTAATACTATTCTTAAATAGCATACCGATATAAATTTTAGTAGTTTTCCATTGTTAGATCGTGTGCCCTTATTATCAAAATGTCATGTGATTTGCTATTTAAAATATGATTTGTGTAATATGTACGTAAATCAAAAGAATGTTTCATTACAAGCGATACATGAGCATTTTCTCTTACCCTTTCCATTTGTGTGCTTCTTTTAGAATTGTAACAAAATTCAAAAATTGCTACTATCACGGCTAACGCCAGTCCACATAACAGCACTACAAACACTCCACCTGAAATGAATAAAATATTTATAATAAAAGAAGATGAGAAAAATTTTATTGTAATATAAAGAGTATTAAACAAGTCAAATCAATTTACTTATAAGCTCAAGTCGATGGTCATGTAATGTATGGCAAAACCAATACTAACTACATTGCTTGTTAAAATATTCATGGAAAGCGTATCAAAGGAAAGCTATGTTTCCTAATAAGCAATCTTAATTTGACAGCGGCCTCACCAATATTGGATACGCCAAGCGCATTTGCTTTAGATTCTTTCCCCTTTTCCGTTCTTGTGCAAGTATCCCCTGGGTTTTTCCACCACTTATTGTACAGCATTTGAATTTCTCCCTTTTCTTGTAATTCCAGAATTGCAAGGGAAATCTTGTCTCTCCAAGGAGATCCTGAAACAAACGTTTAAGTCTTTAGAAGAGAGAATCGAGTTCTGAATAAAAATTTCTACTTTAATTATTCTGTAAAATGACTGTTGTGATTGGGTACCAGTTGATCCTTCGGTAAATGTGGCTGTGTTTTATTAAGAAATTTCTCTTTTTAAGATCATATACTTTAAACTAATCATGTACGTAATTATTTGAAATACGATTTAGATCTAAGAGAAATTCAATTATGAAATAATGCAAACCAATGGATTTTAGAGCCTGTTTGGACTTTGAAAGGTTCATGTGGATGAATGTGTGGCTTAAAGTTACAATTCTTGATATTACCAATAATGTAGAAAATAAAATGTAATATAAATTAAGGTTAAAGTTTTAGTTGCTAATATTTTATGAACAGTTCTGCTTTTTATTGTTATAGGAAAACTCCTCGACATGTGGATCGTTATATATTAATATTATTAAAATGTAAAATAACATTAATAAACCTTTTTATAGTATTAACAAATAAACATTCCTTTCAAATAGTTGTCTTCCTGATGTCTCAGAGGACACTTGACGTTGTACTTTTAAAATAGTATGTAGACTCTTGATTACAATATTCGCATAAAATATTATAATTCACAGCATATTTTGGAAACGTTTGACATTTAGTTATCTAACCATAAATAACATTTATATGTTCAATGGTAGTATAAAAAATAAATAACAAATCGAAAATGTGTTTTTAGTGTGATTGTTGTTACTACTATCCTTTTGTTAAACAACTACCCAATAATCATTTCCGTACTTAAATGAAACTCGAGGATCTAAATGGCGGTTTTGCAATATGCATTTTGTTACTCTTATGTTTTTTTTGTTTATCTTAATAAATGAATTGTGTTAACTTTGGTTTAATGGCATACCCATAGGTGTGGCGATGCCGTAGCCTTTAGTATCTAGCAGTCCTCCTATTTGTGTGAGGTTACAGTCGCGCTGTACGATGTAGTCCAGCATCGTGGACTCCATGAGGAACGCGTAGTTTCCCTCCAGAACTCGCCTGATTCCCTCTTCGTACGTCGAGACAAATACTGATGGCTTCTTATTCTCCATAAACCTCCACATCTTCTTGTACGTTTCTATCATTGAGTCCTATAAACATTATAGCTACATTTAGATAGGTTTGTATTAACGATATAAATTATCACTGAAGGCCGAACTTTGATTATAAAATTTACAACTGATGTGAATATTATAATTCCATTATAATTTTATTGGCTCTCTATAGCTACGTATGTTTAACTCATCACTTAAATACCCCAATTACTTCTAGTGAAAACTCAGCCTACTTAGAGATAGTAATACTGTAGTTAATAATATGATGCTAAAGGATGTTTGCAAACACTGCAACTGTTACAACGTCATTGACGAAAGCCCGTCGATTTAAATCCACATTGACTATTTGTGAAGGTTGACAATATTTTCAATATTCTCTGGGGCTCTAACAACATATAAATATTACAAAAAGAAGAATAAAATACCTCCACCACAATAAACTTGCAGACTGAGCAATTTCAAATTTAACTACAAAGACTTTTCCATAAACAAGCCATATTTCTGGTTTACGATATCATTTAAGTTCATCCTACCCTAAACCTTCAAAATTTAATCAAAATCGTACAAAAAGATAATGTTTTTGGCCTCTGGGGACATCAAAATGAAAAGTATATCGGTCCCTGGTCTAGGCCATACTGGTACTTAATTTACAAACTTTTACCTTATATTTGACTAAGTAAACTTAATTTAATTATATGAAATTCATTAAGCTAAGTACAGTTTTGTTGATATTGATGGGTTTTATATTTTTTGCAGTAACTATTATCAATGCTTTAATATTTTATTTTAAGGTATTTGGGATTAAATCTAAACGTACTTTAACCAGCTTACATTGATGAATTTTAGTTTTCTCTAAAGTATGCTAGATAAAGTCGCATTTAGGTCAATTTAATTACTATAATATAATTGTACAATTACCTCGTCACAGCTCCGTAGTTTCCGTATATATTACGGCCGTTTCGGCATCAAAATGCCATCTTCAGATACATACATCCACCGGATTTGGCGTCGTCAAAATTTATACACACACGTAATACGATAACGAACATTTAAAACATAAAAAAACGAAAGACAGGCCTGTCGCGCACATGATGAGTACTTCCGTAATATATACGGAAACTACGGAGCTGTGACGAGGTAATTGTACAATTATATTATAGTCATCAATTCAGCTCAGGGGCTCAACCATGTCTATTGATTCAATTTAATTATTTTAAAAACCAGATGATTTCTCATCACATTGCATTTTAATATTGTTTATTTTAGTTGTCATCCGGAGTAAGGAAAAGTGCAGTCAAAGTAAAATTTTAATTTTCCCTACTATTTGCCTAACCTATATGGGTTGAACAAAACAAAATGTTGGCTTGGATTATTTCGAACTTCTTACTTTAATAAGAATCAGCAGGATGTGGCCCTGCGTAGATTAAATTAACTTAAAAAAAGATTTGTTAAAACAACGTTTTAGATATTCAGTAATTAAATTGAGAGTGGTTTTCAGGTTAGAGATCATATGAGTCATCAGATAAAAATCTATGGACAGAACATATATGCAAACCGCTTTCAAAGTCCATTTTTAAAACCAGCCGAAAGCGTCAAAATCTTTCTGTAGTTTAAGAAGTACCACTTGCTCGCTAGCTGCACAAATAGCTACTACTTACTCTGAAGAAGGTCATAGTAGAGCCACTGTCCAGGGTACCGTATGCGATCTCTGTCTGGCCAGCCAGATCTTCCGCGTTCTCTATGGGAGTGATCATCCTCTCTACAGTGAGGAAGGCTGCCAGATTGGCGGTGTAGGACGAGATGATGATCAGAGTGAAGAACCACCAGATACCTCCCACGATACGAGTAGAAGTCGCCTGCAACAGCCATTATATGCGGACCCTGACACTACTAAGGGGGTCTGGTGAAGATGATGCATTGTATACCTCCCATTGAAACGTATAATGATAATTCTTCTATAAAGATAACTTTGATTTGTCGTTATTTAAACTAAAAGTATAATGTTTTCATTGCGACACACAACATTTCCAAAGTGCTACAGTATTCAAACTTACGAGCAGTTGTTGATATCTTGTGTATTATAGTGATTGTTTTTTATCCTACATTACCAAATACAATTATTTTACCAACCCAAATTGATCTTCTTACAAAAAAATCACAAAAACTGTTTTATTTTACTGTAGATTTTCAAATGGGCTGTCTCACGTATTTACTTGATAATTATTTAAGCAATGACATCTTAGATAGACAGAATCAGCGATAGCTAAGAACCTGAGTTGGTATATTGATCGCCTGGCAATCTACCAACTCTACACTACATTCACTAGTTTGATTTTGGGAAAAGTTACTATTGATTTGACTAAACCTGGTCCAGCTCAGCTGTTCTCAGTTTTCAGTAAATGGAATTGGCTAAAGACCATGCTCTTAGTCTGCAACAAAGCTACACGAGATAGTGAACTATATTTTACACTCTTGTTTCATTCATATTTGGGTTAACATATGCTCAGATAGGGGTATATTTAGATCATAACTGGAAATTATAATAATAATGAGTATTATTATTATTATTATTATTATTATTATTACTTTTTTTAAATATCGTGTTAAGAATGTTTAAAGACGTAAAGGTAAATGTTAGATGACTATACAATGTAATAAGATGATCAATTATCAACTAAAATAAACTGCATATATAAAACTTAGTATTTATCATTGGAAAAAAGCAAGACATTTAGATCAAGGATAGCCATTATAAAGTGCCCCAGACTTATCTCAGAATCAAACTCTCGATCTCATTGCTGCAAAGTAAGCAATTTTACCATTTGGCCATTTAGCTTAAAGATAATACTATAGCTTAAATTATTTCAATGGTTTCAGCTTTAATTCATTAAAGGGCTTATTTATATTGTATTACATTTTAAAGTTATTTCATGAATAACTGTTATCCAATTATAGGTATATCAACAATAATAACATGTTTTCTTAGCCCTCAGGACTGTTTGTAGATTACGTACAATTGTGCATACATCTATTCTATGCCTAGACCACTAAGCCAATACGATATATGGCTACCAATGTCCATGGCGTACCTTTAAGATCATTTAAACTAATGTCTATAAACCATACGGACACACTTACTCCAGACTACTCAAAGAAGATAGAGAAGTTTATGTAGTGATTACTTGGATCAAAATAAGCAAACAAGTTTGTTAAACATGTCCTATCTAGTTTAGTGTCTGTCTGTCTGGATGTGTTTTTTTACAAAAACATTCATAGCGTAAATGGAGGTTTTAACGATTTAACGTAGTTTTAAATAGAGAAAACTGTAGGTACATAAAGCAAGCAAGACTTAAATAAACAGATTTTCAGAAATTAGGACCAATAGGATAAACATTTTTGCAGAATCACAACGCTGTGGGTCAAAACATTAAGGGAGCTATTTATGAATGTGTTTTGTAAAACACATACAGACGCTAAACGAAACGAGATAGGAAATATGTTTATGTAAACCCTTTGCATATTTTATCCTAAGAAATAACCATGGGGTGGAAATTTCCCCACCATATTTGAAAAAAAATTAAATTAAAATGATTTTTTTTTAATTTTAATTGAATTGTTTACACCTTATACAGGGTGGCTGAAAAGTAACTTGCACCCCCCCCCCCCCTTAACTTTTCAACCATTTGAGATATTTGAAATCGGTTTGCGGCAACCTTCTTTGATATAAGGGGCTACAATAATTATGGTCAATTTTGAAAATTTTTCCCTTAGGGGTAGCGGGGGTTAGGGGTAACTCAAAATTTTCAAACAGCAACATAACATACTAATTATTATAGTCGAGTTTGGTATCATTTTGTAGGTCTTGACAAAACATAATAATTAACATAAAGGAAATAGAAATCGGACCAATAATAACAAAATGGCAGTTCAAAATTACTTTAAATAACAATTTTCTTAATCATTTTTAGCTACCATTTCGTTATTATGGTCCGATTTCTATTTCCTTTATGTTAATTGTTATGTTTTGTCAAGACCTACAAAATGATACCAAACTCGACTATACTTGCTATTTGAAAATTTAGTGCTACCCCCTACCCCCGCTACCCCTAAGGGCAAAATTTTCAAAACTTACCAGAATTATTGTAGCCCTTTATATCCAAACAAGTTGCCGCAAACCGATTTCAAGTATCTCTAATAGTTAAAAAGTTAATAAGGGTGCAAGTTAATTTTTTGCTACCCTCATGGTTATTTGGATTTAAAGCGTTTTAGGGCGCTATTTTGTTATTAGTGAGCCGATTTTGATTTTCTTTATGTCAAATTGTCAATTTTTATGTTTTGTCAAGACCTGTAAAATGATACCAAACTCGACTATATTTGTCATTTGAAAATTTTGAGTTACCCCTTACCCCCGCTACCCCTAAGGGCAAAATTTTCAAAATTGACCATAATTCTTGTAGCCCTTCATTTCTAAGAAGTTTGCTGCAAACTGATTTCAAATATCTCAAATGGTTGAAAAGTTAAGGGGGGGTGTACGTTACTTTTCAGCCACCCTGTATATCTCATAGGTATTTATTTTGTGTGTTTTACTAAGGTGTTTAAAAGTGAACTACTGTGTAGGCTACATGTAGTGAATTAACTGATTTTTTATGTGATAACTAATTATCCTCATAACTAATTCACATTACTTATATGATTTCAGTAACTATTCCATTTTGTAACATTCTAAAATCTATGTAATAGAACATAACAAACTACATGACGGCACTTTGAACAAATAAACTAATTTGTAACTACTAATCTTCGTGGTTATTTCATGTGCAAGGCTAAAGATCAGCCATGTAATACAAGAGTACTTATAAATTTACGTTAGTAGCTCTTTTCTAATAATTAATTCTCTCCTATATAGAGCACAAGGCATTTGAAGTCCAAAACAGACAAAACATATATATTACCAAATATTGTTTATGACACATTTCTTTAGTTAGGCATTTGCATGTATAAAAACTAAATGTTAGAAGTGTGTATAATAGCATTAAAGTCATATTAACATGCTTTTATTAAAAAACAAACATATTCCACCGACGTCCATGACACTCGCTCTGTTGCAAGACATTAAATTCAACCGTAGTATAAATGTGACATCGATGCTCACATATAACATTCTAAAATGCTAAGGAATGGTACTGAGAAACGCCTTCAACACTTTCCTCTATATTTATGTAGCCGACACGACACTGGTTTGAATTTACTACCGTGTACCGTAAATTTCTCCGTGTATAAAATTTCAACGCTTGCTATTTGACGTAAACATACTTGTTTTAAATTCTAACGTTTTATGATTTTTTTGTCTAATTTTGTTTTGTTAAAATTCTCAAGGTATAATGCTACGAGTGCCCTTCTTCTTGAATATTTATTTCTACAGGCAAAACTAAGCACCATTGGACCAGAAATGGTGCAACACGAGTACTGCTTGAGAGAACATGCGAAGATAAAGTTGTAGTAAACACGAATGAAGGGGCACTAAAGATAGCAGGAAGTTGCTACGAGACGAAAGTTACAATGAACCATACGGGATATCTCTAACATGATTTACTTTGGTTTAACACGTGCAATACATTGTACAGGACTTATTAGAGATAATGCATTTATTAATTTTCATACCATGCAGCTGTCCACACAGAAAAAATCCCAATGGACAATTTCACAAGCAATGATAGTCTTAAATTTAAAGTAACCCTATTCTTTTAGGTAAGTCACAGACAAATAAGAAATAAGTGAGTAAGTATTCTAAGTACAGGTAAAACAGCGTACAACAGTAGGTTCAGTGTAATGCAGTACCAAACAAATCGTTTAATCCAACAAACGTTGTGCTTATGCCACAAGTCAAAGATGTCAGGATACGATTTCCCTGAAAACCTTGCGAAAATGTAAGAGCATTTTTTTTATTTTACAGAAAATTTGTGTTTTTTTATCAACACAAAACTTATAAACAAAAAAGTAAAAACTAAATATTGAATATGCATGCATAAGGATGTGAACTATAATGGTACTATTTGTGGTTTAATTCAAGCAAATCTCCCTTCAATCTCATTAGATACAAATTGATCTAGCAATAGTGTGCACTATGAAGGAAACCGTGATTAAACAGCTTTTGAGTTTATCAACTGTACATAAGCAATGGTTCCCTATTATGAATCAAATGGTTTACATTTTTGTTAGTCTCAGTACATACTTATGTCAATTATAGTCCAAGATAGAAATATTGCGATACGTGTGCTTCCAACGGCCGCATTTGTTATATAACCTATGGAGACGTATTAGACGTAATAATTTAGTAAACTTCCCATTTGTTATGATTGTACTAGGAAACCGTGGTATTTTAACAAATCTACTTCATGACAATGCTTGAATTTTAAACCATTGGATTTAGAGCGGGGTTAAAATCCAAAACTGAGTAGAACAAGTTTCTTGGTTAAAAATAATCTGGTATGGCATTTATTTAAATTACAGGTTATTTTTTCATAGTTCCATAAACTAAAACAAAATTTGCAAAGTTCATACAAGTAATTAATTCCATATATCTCCCATCACTCTCTTTAAAAACGACACACTCAACTCGCAAATAATTTAAATATTGCTAAAAGATGATGCATAAGAAATAAAAAAAAGACCCTGACAATATCTGTAAAGTTTATACAGTTTACACTTTTACTATTGAGAAAATAATTATTTAAAGTTCTAAACAGTTTATTTAAACTACAGAGCGAAAACGCTTTTGTAATAACTGTAGAATCCTTCCAAAGGTAATTAATTTAGAAATATAACGCTATAGACTATGCATCCATAAAAAATCTACGTAAATTACACAAATTTATACAATTTTGTGGTATTGTTTACCTCTAGACTCTGTCAATAGTCCTGATCATCAGTGTTTTTTTTGTTTCACATGATGTATCTACTTAAATACATCTTATTTAATATATTTCACATAAATATATTTTAAAACGAAAATTCCAGATACTGTTCAAGTTTCCTTGTCGACCAAGCATATTACCACCTCTAAGATAGCTAATCTTATGTAAACATTCTAGATGGTTTCTAATTAAAACTCTAAAACCGTTAAAGCAGACAGCTTTGATAGAATTTTCAAAGAATTAATTAAAAATCCTCCTCCAATGGTTGAAAAGTCTTTATAAACGTTTGAACAGCATATTAGAAACTAATAGCTCAACTCCAGGGAGGTATCAAAGAAGTTGTTATAAAGAAACTTCAATGCCATTAAAAATATGCAATAATTGCATGACACTATCAAAAATAAGTAAACTATTTCGGAATTTTTATTATAGCTAGAAGACTTTTAAGCTATAATTTAATATTTATTAAAAATTAATTAACAATTTAGTATTGAATTTGGACTGGTTAGTAAAATCGATCATAAAGGTTGTCATGCAGGTTTTAATGCAACATAGAGTATGAATCATATTCTTCCATCGATAATAGCATTCGCAACGAGCAAACATGTAAAGTAAAAAATAAAGTAAAATGGCATCCTACTAGTTGAAGGTAAGTTATGATAGCTAGTTTATAAAATAGCAATTACAAATCAAATGATAAGAGTGAACAAGCACAGTTAGGAGAACACTTTTCAAATTAAATTTAATTCAGTTCATATCACAGAGAATTATCAATCTTAGTGGTGCTTATTTTTGCTGAGCAAATTGGTTTGGTTCAAAAATGTATTGCCAAACAACCAGCAAATATAAACGCTTTACATTACTGTTGATAATGCACTTTGCCGATGAAGTTTACATTTACCAATTTACGTAATTTGATCCTATTACGAAAATGCTTTGGATGGATTCTGCCCATCAGCGTACTCTCTATTATTGGTTTTATTGGAATATATACCTTTGGCTTGACATAAAATAAGATAAGTCATTTGCTGTAAGCTAATTACTCTATTGGGTGATAAATATTAACACTATCTATATATATAAAAGGCAAAGCCCTCACTGACTGACTGACTGACTGACTGACTGACTGACTCACTCACTCACTCATCACTAATTCTCCCACTTCCCATTTACCTAGGAGGCTGAAATTTGGTACACTGATTCTTTAGGCATTAAATAGGAAAACTAAGTGGTTTTTATTCTGATCGGACTCTCGGGCTCCGCCCCAGTGGCTCTGGAGTTTCCCATGTTAACCTAATGAGTACTCATATTTAAATGGAATAAATGAATCTTAACAGCTGTTTCAATTAAACAAGTTGGCTTTGTTCTATGATGTTCAATAGCATTAAAGTTACAAGGATTACCAACAGAGTGCAGCACTATTTTTTTTTTTATATTTGACAACAGCTAATTTTAAACCAAAAGGTGAGTGAGCAAAGCGAACGAACTTCAACCCGGAGGCGAGTTAGCGTAGCGAACGAGCTAACCTGAAGGCAAGTGAGCGCAGCGAACGAGCTCCAACTTAAAGGTGAGTGAGCGTAGCGAACGAACTTCAACCAGGATGTGTGAGCGCACCGAACGTGCTTCAACCTAAAGGTGAGTGAGCGTAGCGAACGAACTTCAACCAGGACGTGATTGAGCCACGCGAACGAGCTCACATATGAAGTTAAACGGGGCAAAGCCCGCGGGTACAGCTAGTTGAAACATATGTACAGAACTGTCGAGATTTTTTGCTTTATTTGTTATCAATAAGAATATTACACACGTACGCATATTTGAATGAAGTCAGCAACCACCAAACAGGGAGGTGTCGAATAAGGTTTGTATTCAGTCTAAACTGTCATGTGAAAAAACTTAAATTTTATTTACTGTCAAAACCAGAATAAAAAATAATAATAATTTAGTATGTATAATTTAGTATCTTGTTCCAACTAGTTTACGAGTTATTACAAGTCATATAAACTTCATGATACCTTTTATACTATCGTTTAGGAAGGGGAACTAATTGAAGGAAATAACTTGTTTACGGACATCTTGATAACATTTTCAAAATTCATTTCTTTATGGGCTACTAGAAAACAGTTATTCTCGTTCGCGTTGTTGCATATACAAGTACGTATCAGGTCAATTTAATCCCGTGTCCGGACAAGAATAATATATTTTTCGTAACATACAGCCTTTTTAGTTTGAAAATAAATCAACATTTTTTATAATTAATCTTAACTGGATATTTCCTGTATTTTTTCAGTTTTCAGTTTTAGTTTTAAATCATAAATTAATTTTTTATGAGTAACATTCCAATTGCGTGAAAACTCTTTGAATTAATAACAGCCCAAAAGTTAAGCCACAATTCAGTGGATTTCTAAACAGGTCGTAATATTTATTTTATGTTGACTTAAATTTTTCACAGGGGGTCTTTGTATAACTTATATTTGCTGGTTGTTATGCAAAGTCTTTTCTTTACATTGGACTATTTATAATAGTTTTATGACAATGAAAGCGAAGAGCATTCGTGCACTTTACCTTGGGATTGAGGTCGGATCCTTGCTGCATCAGCGTACCGATCGTGAACCAGAAGCTGTTGGATAGCGAGAACTGGTTTTCTATTAGATCGTTCTCCTGGTCACAGGGGTGTGGGTTGTGCCACTCGTAGGGTGAAAACCTCGCCACAATGAACATGGTGATGGATACGAGCACGTACGCGGCCAGCACGTACAGCCAGATCTCCACGGCCAGTGGGTTCATGAACGAGAACAGTCGCGTCTCTTGCGATGTCGGTACCTGCAACGGACCAACCAGGCTACTGTGAATACAATAGTTAATCACGTAAAAGACCTGTACGTCCATCCAGATGTCCACTGAGTTGATGAAAGGGAAATTCTGTGTGTCTTATGTGGTTATTCGGACCAGCGACTTTAAACGTCACTCACGAGTATACCTAAGTTTGGTTAAAATAACTAAGGCGCGGTTCAATTCGGACCTTAACACTCACGGCAACGCTTAACTTGTAGGTCGAACGGAAAAACAATAACGGAGGTTAAATACGATGGTTTGAAACCCCGTATTCCTATAAAAGTTTAATTTATCGAGACCTGCCGAATTAGGTGTACTACAATTCGAGAAGGGAAAATTAAGATGACAACAAACAAAGACATAAAAAGCATAACTGAAAGCGTACCCTAGGACTGAGCCCAGAACCCTGTCTCAGCAAGGTACCAGTGACAAACCAAAAGCTGTTGGACAGGGTAAAGTTGTTGGTTGGAGTCTTGGGTGGTCGTGGACGGCGCCACTCGTAGGGCGAGAGTCGTGACATAGCGTAGAGCATGAAACATTGCACGAGGTATGCAGCCAGGGCGAGTAACCAAATGTCCAGTGCCAGCGGACCCATGAAGGTGAAGAACGTAGAGGCCTTGTCTGTTGGAACCTACATGTCGACCATAGAGCACAACATGAAAAATTACATCAGTTGGGTGGTCAGTAACGGTATTTCGACGTCCAGCACCAGCAGACCCATCGAGGTGTAGAATGCCTGTTGGAACTTACATGTTTATCTTGTTACATGTTTATTATAGAGCAGAACAAAAAAAAAACTGCATCAGTTACGTGGCAAAAATAATCAGCATGATAAAGGCCATAAAGGTCATTAGGTCCATAGTCTTTTCCTTTAACTTAAAAATAATCAATCTCTTTAAACTAATCTGTACTCTGTTTCCTATTCAAGAAACTACAGTAGTGTGTTTATTCCTAAAAGCAGACCAATATAAGATCTTAATATAACGATCATGAAAAATCACCAGCTAAAAAGGCTAGAAAAAACAGTTATCAAAGCACGTTTGAAATAAAGTGAAAATATATACAGCAGAGGGAGAGTTGCTGCAAGCGCAATAAAGAGAACCTGTTAAAAGGAATATGTTGTAGCACAATTCTCTCCGAGTGCGTTATTGGACTAATAGAATTTGATATTACGATTGGAATAAAAGAAGCGCGTATTGTGCGATACGGTTGCAGTAAAAGCCTGAATTTAAGTTCACATTTCTAAAGTGTAGCTCCGATTAGGGGTTTTTCCATCAACCCAATTGCCCATTTGCTGATGGTTTATTTACTTTTTTGGTTTTAACTAGAGTTAGAAGAGATTATTATTTTTTTTTTTAGGTATAGAATATGAAAATGTTGTATGTATACAAAATTATATATTGTACGGTATTATTAAAAAATTAAAATAAATCATTTCACATTTTTAGTATAATCACGCTAAAAGAATCCATTGTTCAGGATTCACATACTAAAAGTATAAAATATATTTTCCCGATGTCGTTTTTAGTAGACCTGATTATTAGACATGATTTTAGTAAGGCCAGTGTTAGAGGAAATTCCAACATCCTAATACCATAGATTAAAAGAATAGACACTCCATTAATATATGCTATGACTTTGGACATCCAATAATACAAACAGATACCTATTCAATTTGAACTCACCTTAAATAGTATGCTGATCCCAAGGTTCATAAAAGGTTTTGTAAAGTCAATAACGCTCTCTCTGGCATAATTAATTGTCATGGACCCAACTGCTAGATCTGCTTTCTATGGAAAATAACATTTTGAATTAATATTAACTTTTTTTCATTAATTGAATTGAGCCTACAAGTTAAGGCTGGTCATAGAGTTAAGGTAGAAATCTCCAAAATTTTAGAGTTCGGAAAAACACACAATAATGGAATCTAAAATTTCAGACATTATCATTCCTTAGTAAATTATAAACTACAGTAATTGTAACGCATTTAGAACAACAATTGAAACATACTGTATTGCACAATTATACTTAGGAATACGAAACATAAGCAGTTAACCAAATATACAAATACTTTATTAACCAACACATTCTACAACTAGTACCCTGTAAAATATCACAACACACAAGAAACATTAAATCATTCTCGTTTCATCGCACATTTCAAACACAGATTTCCACCACTTCATGTCAAATTGCGTGTGAGTAAATCCCACCACTCGGAATCAAACATTCTGGAATAAGTTTCTCTGACGAAGTATTCGATATTTTAGATCCCTGCAATATTCCGTTTGAGTGATAACGTTATTGCGTCAGACGCGAACGCCAAATTTCCGGAGTGTCGCTCGCGCTGAGCCGACTTCCGTCGACGTGATGAGCGCTTCTCCCTGCCTGACGAGCGAATTGCAATAATTATCAATGCAAAGTCAAATCCTCACTTAAGTGATACGAGTTGAAACTTTCCTCATTACGTTAAAGACGTATAAACAAGTTTTAATGAGCTCTTATTGAATTTACTTTCGACTTTACAAACTTGCAAACTCTGTTTGTATATACATGTAAAACTCGTCTCCAATGGATATTATTTATTCAGAATTCGTTGAAAGTTATGTCATTATTAATTGTTATCTTGTTGCACCGACTTATCCAAGTTGTTTGTGGTATTGTAGTCTGGTGTAATTTAAATTGAATAGATTTTTTTTATGTCCTGTTAAAGTAATCCTCTCTGAGACTTAATGTATCAATAATAAACATAAATGTATACTCTTTTAAGCTATTACTTCGGTTTTTATCCCATAAGGGGGGTTGCCCATGAGGACTCAAACAAAGTTCTTAAATAGCAGCATCGGTCGAGTTTATTACCGTATTAAAGGTCTTAGGTAGTACAACACATTGCCACAAACTCGAAGATTCATTGAATTTGCAATGCTATTGTATGCCGATTGTACGTTAACTCCTTAGAGGGGCACCCGCTAGAATTCGGAAGAAAATCACAAACTCAAGCATAGATCGATATGCATATCAAATTGAAGACCTTAACTATTATAATAGAATGCCGAACATTTGAGCTCAAAAGAACAACGAAGTAAACATTGGCAGCCGTGCAAAGATTCAAAATGTCTGATCCAAGAAATTAAAACGGCTGCCATTTTTTAATCGGGTTTCCGTTCAAGTTTGGGTTTGCGACAGTGTATGCCACCGCGCAAGTTTATTATGAGGTGATACTTAACTTGGCCTTTGCTGCTATTTAAGAATTCTTTCTGAATCCTCGTGTGCTATTCGTAAGCCCTTAAGGGATAAAAAGTAAAAATAGTTTTAAAAAGTAGACATGTATGAATATTATTTATATACCAAATCGCATTACTTTATATAAAACGGATAAAATATATACACCGTTTCGGGACTTTTCAATCATACTGTATACAGTATTAATCAATTGATTAGTTGGCAAGTCTTTGGCTCAGTCGCTAGCGTGACGTACTGAGGGACCGAGGCAGTGAAGTCGTGAGTGTGCGTCCTGGTGCAAGGTTGAAAGTAGTTAATAATCTCATGAAAAAAAATTAAATATAGCATACTATATTTCGGCCGCTTAGAAAGTGACCTCCTCCAGCATTGGTTTAGCATTAGAGCGCAGGTCGTTTTCTAAGCGGCCGTATTAATATTACTTTTGAATTGGTTCGGATTATGCCTAAGCCAAAGAAAACAAGTTAGCTCTCTAAATAACTCTGTTGTAATTTAAACCCGTATCTTTGACAACTATAGCACAATAATGGTGATGCCTCCCATGTCTTAATTGAGCAACGAACTCCAGACGAGACATACCAAATGGTGACACTTAGAATTTTACAATCTATAAATTTCTACAATTCTGACATTGCCGAACGTTCACTGTAACAATTAACCCCAATGTTGTACTATACCTTTTCCATAAGCTGACGAACTATGCCATTCCACTCGCCAGTGTCGGGGTCGTACACACCGTACTTGCCGTCCGGTACCAGCTGGATGCGGTACTCAAACCCTACCATGTCCGCTATCTCCTTCAACAGGTCGATACAGAACCCCTCGAACTTGGGGGTCGTGTCGTTGTCTACGGCACGCATCATCACATACGGGGTCTCCTACGGGTCAAACTAGTACATAGCCTACTGTGCTCACAACAGTTATAATACGGGGTGGCTAAGTTGTAGGTTTAAACAGCACTTACTTCAGTTTATACAATCTACAACACAAAGGTTAAAGCATATTAAAACAACAAGAAAGAAAATAGTATTGTGTCTGGAATCACACAGCCGTCGTGATATTAGATATTGATTCTTGCATGATAGAGATTTGTTTTATATAATCTGGGATGTTGGAGAAACGAAGACGATTCTTTTATACAAGTAGAGAATAGCTATAGCGTAGGTTCAATAAAGGCAGACGATGCAGAGTTTGAGAAATGTATTATATAAAATGTGATTGTATGGAAATTTAGTATCATGAGTTACTAGTGTATACTTTGTGAAAAGTTTAACAAGAATGGTTATGTAGAATGTAAAATGTTTTATATTTATTTGCTTTCAGCATTCATTTAGTAAATGTAGGTTTTCTAAGTCACTGTAAACAAAAATATGATTTTAAATTTCCGCTGTAACTATTATGGAGGAATATAAATAAACTGTTATAGCTTTAGTAAATTCGATTTAGTTTTATAATAAACTATGAAGCTGCTAATTATCTGCTTAGGGTATTATTTTAAATATATACAATTTGGAGTAATAAAAAATATTAGGATAGGAAAAGCAGTAAGTTTCACACAACCTAGATACAACAAAAATACATCAACAACAACAGTGGACCAACGATACAGCGGATAGTGCGAGTAATGTAGGATGTATAGCTGTAGTCATACAGATTATACATGATGTTATACATGTTTCATGAGCTGCAGCACCATGCCATTCCATTCGCCGGTCTCAGCATCCTGCGCCCCGTACTTCCTGTCCGGGACCAGGTCTAGGATATAGTCGAACCCAACTTCCTTGGACACTCTCTCCAGCAAGTCCACACAGAACCCGTAGAACCTAGCGTTGCCTGTGTAGTTCTTGCCGTAATGCATCATCACGTACGGTATCTCCTGCCAGGCAAGTGTGGTTGTACTTGGTGGAGTAACAAGACATATAATAATCATACAAATAGATAGACGTTGGAGAACACCTGGACGCGAGGGATGTTCCAGCTGAATAGTTCTTATCTTTAACAAAATAAATACATTTTATATTAGATTTACACTGCATGCATAGCAAAAAATAAGAACCGAAAGTGGCAAGTATACTGTGTGCAATTGTAATTGTTGCGAAGGGGGGAGAGTGGTCACTGGTTTTTGTATATGGCGCCATTTATAAGTTCTAGAGGAGTGGACGGTACAACACCGTATATTTGGTTAGATGTGTATATGCAAATGACAAGTCTATCACAGAATCATAGCTATTTTCTCGAGTTTATTTTTATTTGGGCCCATGTCATCATGCTCCTCTGCAATTCTCAAGCGTGTTATCGATAACCGAACCGTGATGGATGACTCTTGAGGATGCGGTTTACTAGGAAGTTGATAAATGCATGGTGCCAAGTGATGCTGGGACATGTAATTAAAGACTTTAAGGGAAGGTTTCAAAATTACATGCAAATAACGTACTTAACCTGGCGGACATTGTTTTCCATAAGCAATAGACATCTGAATAACATTTCCAACTATTTTCAGTAAGTAGTGTATTTCTGAAATGATAAGAGTTAACAAGTATTTTAGTGTAAATACAAAAGAGTAATAATTGTAATTTTGAACCGTCGGTCTTTTTGGTAACTTTTAAATAGTTAAATATTCCATACATGTAGTAAATAACCAATATATCATTTAGCTTGATTGAGTTAAACTTTGTTTGGTTTTGTGAACATAAAAACAAAGGAGTTTATTTTTATAATATTTGCAGATTGTATAAAGAAAAATCCGTAAACAAGCAATGTTAAATAATTTATTTTCTTCTGTCTTGGGTTGGACAGCTTTTAGTACTTATTTATGCCGTGTTTATCACTTTGAATTTATCGGTTACCAATAATGTAGGTCTCGAATAAAAATGCGATTTACAAACTTCTACCGACCAGACCTCCCTCGAATAATACGATTGAGCCAACAACCTTTACAAATAGTTTTGACTGTATAAACTCATAAAAATTTCCATTTATAAAAATTTTATCTGAGATGGAACAATTTTAATTAGAGTGATTGTGTCTACGGACAGGGTTGTAAATGTTGTTTAAGTTGTTCATTCATATATACAGCGTTGGTAAAAAGTCTGGAGACCTCCTGTTATTTTTTTAACGACCCGTACTAGAAAAACTAAACTCAGCACACCTTTATTACATGAGTTTAGTTTTTCTAGTACGGGTCGTTAAAAAATTAACAGGGGGTCTCTAGACTTTTTACTAACCCTGTATAAATTCAATAACAATGGTCAATTATACGGTTATTAAATAGATTACTTATAACAAAAATATTACGCATGAATATTTGTTTGTTTACTTAGTACAAGTCCGATTAATATGGATATGATGTTACTTTTAGCAATGTGTACCGTTTCCTCAAATCACTTTTGTTTGTGACATTTTTAGTTTATCATTTAAAGCTTTGGTATACAGCGATCCTTTGAATCTGCATACATTGGCAATGTTAGGCGTGATGAATCCGGATGATATTTGACATAACACCATGATTGTGTGCCTGTTAAATCTCTTTCTCAATCCTGGTGTATCACGGGAATTAATTAGCATCACAAGCGTGTTGCTTGTAATCTGCATTCAGTTTAGATTAGTTATTTAGCACTAATCGGATCATTTAAACGGGAACAAATTAATTTGATTAACGTTGAAAAAGTCAGTTGCATGGTGGAAGGGCTGCATTAATATAAGGGTCATATTATTAAATATTACCTAAAATTAATGTACACTTTAATGTTGTTCATAACCTATCCTGTCTTTGTAATGTCTTTGTAAATATATTTAAACTGAGATTAAAAGGGAATACGTATTGGTCATTACCGAATTGTGTATTCAATAATATAAATTTAAACTATTTATAAGCTTGTTTTTGCCCCAAACTAGGAGGTAGGTTCTGGACGAGAAATGTTTTTTACATTACTTCAGGCTAGTCCCGGAGGGTTGTGGCAATACCACATGGATAAAATCCATTGGTGTTTGGTGGAATTGAAACCCAGGACTACGTCTAGAAACTATGCACCGAAACTTACCAATATTGTGATGACGACTAGAGTAACATTCATGGAGCCAGAATCAAAGAAGGCTCCTTTGTCCGAGATGTTGACTCCACCAGTGGGACTCCATTCCCCCACCTTCACCAGCGAGTGTTGCTTCAGCTTTAGCAGGTCCAGCTTGAACTGGATACGACGCCCTTCCTTAAACTCTATAGGACCACTCAGACCCTTCAGCTCAACCTACAGTTAGAAAAGAAAATTTTGAAATTCTAACTTAGGTACTAAACCTGGATATGATTGTTTACACACCTTTACTATGTAAAATCAACTGAAACAAAAACAAAAGGTTTTCCCTACACTATACATAAAAAAAAAAAAAAAAAAAAAAAAAAAAAAACACTATACAAAATTATTTAGAACATCAGGCGGATTTATTTTTTTCATCTCATATACCAAAAGACTCAGTATAAAGTTATAATAACTTTTAATAGAATGTTATACTTACTACTATACAATAGGGACTGCAGATTTATAAATCAAAAGGAATTGTTATAGAAAAAGTAATCTTAATCTTTCACATTATACTTTAAATATTTCTACCGGAGCAGATCAAAGAATACATCATAGAGCTTAAGATATATGTAACGGCCAAATATATTTTAAGGAACAAATTTTTATAAATACAATTCAGCTATAATTTTGTTTTACTTACAGAGTTTATGTAGTTTATGAGGCTTAGTCCACCGTCCCAAGGCTGTTCAGCTTCACAGGAAACATTGGCTAAGGCGAGGGAGTGGCTCTGCTCTAGCGTCTGCAGTCCGAGGGCAAACACGTGTACAGAATCATACATCAGCGCTGGCTCTGCCTGAAAATGCCATCAATGTACGTATAGCTTTACAGGAAACATTGGCTAAGGCGAGGGAGTGACTCTGCTCTAACGTCTGCAGTCCGAGGGCAAACACGTGTACAGAATCGTACATCAGCGCTGGCTCTGTCTGAAAATGCCATCAATGTACGTATAGCTTTACAGGAAACATTGACTAAGGCGAGGGAGTGACTCTGCTCTAACGTCTGCAGTCCGAGGGCAAACACGTGTACAGAATCGTACATCAGCGCTGGCTCTGCCTGAAAATGCGATCAATGTACGTATAGCTTTACAGGAAACATTGGCTAAGGCGAGGGAGTGACTCTGCTCTAACGTCTGCAGTCCGAGGGCAAACACGTGTACAGAATCGTACATCAGCGCTGGCTCTGCCTGAAAACAACCAACAATGTACGAATTTGAAATAAGCCAGTAAAACAAAATCAACATCATTGTCTGCAATTCGAATAGATTTTTTTAATTATTACAGTATTATCTCAAAAACCCGAAAATTTTTGATCGATACTGGTAGTTGATGCAATACCAGTAAATGTCACTGAATAAGGTTGTTATTGTTGAGTAACATTGTTTTAACAATCTTTATCGCATTGTTATAGATTTAATCACATATTCTATGAAAAACCAGTCAGTTCTACAGAAGTTATAAGCGGGAGGAAAAGCGAACCAATCTATCGAAAAGTATTTCTATCGAAGAGAGAGCTAAAAGACGATGATTAGGTTGATGATTAGGACTGTGAAGCTGAACATTACTGATAATTGAACAATCCCTATCATACAAAGAACCAAACGGAATAGATTTAGTTTTGATGTTTGAAAAAGAAAGTCTTTACCGTTAAATCTTTACTGTCATGTTAGTAGGGATAATTTTACATAAATAATGAGGTGTAAAAAATTCAAACAACAACCTAGCACACATGACTATACAATTCCCAAATATCTCAAGTAAAAAGCACACATTGCAAAGTGAGGCTTATAAGATATAGTAGTATATACAGTATATAAGTATAAGTTAAGGGAATAAAGACTAGCCAAAGCATCGCAATTCTGGGGATACATTTCAATAGCAAATTAAGCTTTGCACAATGCACATATCAGAGGTAATACTCATCGGTTCCATGAAGCTTTCTCTATTAATTATAGCTATTCATTACTGATATACTGACACTAACTATGTTATATTACCTTACCTGTATGATCCTAGATTTGTTTAACAGATTTTGTCCAACAGGTTGGAACTTTTCCATATCTTTCAGTATTTCCATCACTCCAACATCCTCGGCATCCACGATGCGAAATGCAGTCATATTTACGAAATTGTACTTGAAGTCTTCGAGATCAAAAGTTTCTATATCCTGTTAAACAAAAACGATTCAGTTTTAATTCGTTAAAATGTGTCATACAATATACCTACTAAATATATATATTAGTAAAATGACTATAACTATTGAATTACAAAGTAAATTTCTGTTGATGTGAAGAGCGAGCATAACATGTTTAGTTCTTATTCATAAAATAAAATTGAAAACATATATATGCCTATTAGGAAAGTAAATATTTTTAAACTATTTGTTTGTTTTGTTATTGTGCTTGTCTGGCTTTGAGGAGAAGAATTTCGGTTTACACTATTAACAAGTAAAATACGAGGAAAGTAAAGAGAGTTTAAAGTTTCAGAAAAAAATTGTCGTAAACGTGAAATGAAAATATTACCATGTACTCAAGAGTATGAAAATCTCATTTCGTGTTAAACAAGGGTACGGTATCTGTACTTTTAAGCGTCACAAGCGGAGATGACTTGATAATGAAAAAATCTATTAAAGAGATGTTAGAAGGGAAGGCAATATACGGCAGCGTAATAACAAAGTTGTGATAAAGTTAAAAGTTGGGACAACCCAAAACTCTGCCTCACCGCACGGCCCAACTTCAACGGACGGAGTGTTTCGAATTATTCTACAAAAAGTTTATTCGTGTGACAAGGTACGAATATAAATGTGCTAATAAATCAGTTCCGGAAGACTTCCACTGGAAATTCATTTGAGTTCAAACCATTTGCAATTTAAGTATTGTTCAAACTTTGTAGTGGAAATGCAATAACTCAAATCTAATCATAAGTCTTACATTCACTTACAAATGTTGTAAATAAATAGTGATACTTGTAATCGTTCATCTGCAACTGGAGAATCTGAAAACAAATAGAGATTAAAATAAGCTATATTTGAATGTTTTGTTTGGAAAAATTAAGTTCAATAGTTTATTTAATATAAAAACAAAGACCAACTTATTACTACAATATATCTTAAATTATTAAGACACCTAATTTGAAAAAAATTACATATCCTTAAAAAGTGGTCAAATATTACAAATAATTTTTTTTTCTAACATATTCTTTACATAAAAGATTTCAACATTTTTAATCTTAAAGTATGAAGTACTGAGCTTACCCCTCGGAGGAAATGGTGCATGTTTTCTGGCTTGGTGTCCACTATCAGGTTGTGGATTTCCTTTATTTTGATCTCCTTGAGCACAGCTCGATAAGTATCAGGATCTGCTTGTCTCAGGTGAATCTCCACATCTCTCTTGGATGGTGCTCTGACAAGCTCTCGTAGCTTTATAAGCCCTAAACAACAACACGGTTAAATAGGTTAGTGTTAGTTATCAGACTGTTTATCTCTGTGAACATCGATTGTTGATATTCACAGCCAGCACGATAGAGGTGTTTGGCCACAAGGATGATTACGAAATCTCTATATGAGCTAAATATATATCAAAGATATAACAAATAACCCACTTGTAATTTGTTTAATAATTGACCAGGTACAATAATTACACAGAATGGCAATTACCTGGTTATTTGAGTTACTTTACTATCCAATGTATTATGAACACATTGGAACATTCTCCATATGCTTTTCATAAATTTAGTTGATCATTTTTAAAATAGTCGAAATATTTAAAATAAATCATACCTCCACTTCAATCTAAATATCTCTACTATTTTAATGTAATGGGCAAGGTATTCGTTATTTGTGACTCTAACTCCTTTTATGAACATTGAAAAACTGACGTTCTATTTTTTAGCTTAGACATGTTTGGTAAGCCGAAGAAATTGAACAAACACACTTTTCTGATCATTTAGCTGCTAAGATTCTGGAATGTACCTCTCATTTCAGGAGGTATGTCCACATATCAAACAAAGATTTAATGAGTCGTTCTTACTCTCAAAGCAAATGTAAGCACTATTTTATTAAAACTAAAGTCTATACCATTTTTCAAAGGACAGTCCACACCCTGTTCCCGTTACTATTCACGTTGGCCCTCTGTTAAATAGTCTGATGACAATCGGTATCTGGATCCAGCATTGATCCCTCGTGAAAACTTCAGATTTGGAGGTTAATATCTACAACCATTCAACCCCCCGCTGGATTGGTAATCTAATATATTTAGGTACTTAACCATAATCTTGTTCGTAAATAACAGCGACACGTGTCCAGTTGAGGTAGGTCATGACGTCTTGCAGAGCTTTGTTGAGGAGTGGTTGAGAGGGATGTAGGTTGATGGAGAACTCACGATACTCCGCCTCCAGGTCGACCCTGGCCTCCAGGTGTGGGATGTCCAGAGCATCACAGATGGAGTGGATGTGGGCACCCAGCAGAGGATCACTCGGCCCGAACACTGCCTGTACTCCGTACTCCACCTGCTGGCATGCTGATCCATGCATACCATTAGTATACTTAAAAATAGTTGTCTCATAGCTACATGGGAATTGGCAATATCTGGAGTTACAAAGATTTTTATTATATTTATTTTTCCTTGCATAACAAAAACACATTTAACCTATAATCTGCACGTTCCATAATCACTCTATCGCTGTTATTTAACTTAACTAGGAGCTGGAAACTATTCATCGAATAAAACCCTCAGAGAAACAGTACTGTTCCAAAACGTACAAGGGTAAATAAGAAATATTAAGATGTTTAACTAAACGTCAAAAATCCTGTACTTTTGGTTGAATGACGTCAGTCAACAGCTGATTTACAGAACCGCAAATTTTTTTATACCTCTCGAAATATCTCGAAGTCAGAACGGATGAAAAGTTTACGCAATTTAAAATAATAAATGTCATCAGGCTGTCGGATACATTAAATAACAAACCATTTGTCTTTACTTGCACATACTGCGTTATGCCAGTGATGCTTAACCACCTGATGATACAACCACGAGCTTCTCAACGGATCTTTAGCTTGTTTGCTTCATATTTATTACTTGTAAGGTAATGTAACTCATAAATCGTATAATATCTGGTAAGTTATGTAATTTCTGTATATTATTATTACAAATCACTCGATTCATTAAAATATGTTTCGTCTGTTTCATACTGTTTTTACTCTTTCAACCAGTGCCATTTTTAATAAAAGAAACGCTGTAAGGGAAGTTCCGTAAAGCCCCTCAAATACTTTACTCTGTCACCATGGTTCAAGACGTATACCACAAGGATGGCAATACAGCCGAAAATAATATACAACTATAAAGTTTGTAGGAATCATAAAACCGCTGTTTTACCAACCAAATTAAAATTAGGTAATGTCTCCCTCAACATCAGGCCTGACGCCACGTGTGTATGGTGAGTGATGGTTAGAAGTCCATGTTATACAAAGTAAAGGGCTCTTATCACACCTCGTCACTACAAAGTGTCGGTGGCCACAGCGTCTCGCCCTTCACTTTGAGCTACATCAATCGAGGGGAACTAAGTTACTATCAGTAATGTTTCTACTTTCGCAATAGCCTTCGTCCCTTACGCAATTCACTGAAAGGTTTTTCTTCAAAAGGAAACCGATCGATGTAAAGATCATTCAAATAAAATATCAGACATTAAGGTCAATATTGTACAATTTATAGAATCTTTTAAGATAGTCGAATTTCTAAAGTTGAGATATTCGTTTCAGACTGAAGTACTCGACCACATGTCAAAGGTTTTGTTTTATGATTCACATACAATATTTATTCAAAATAGCATATTTTATATCTAACAAAATATTGGCATAAAGAATAATTAAATATCTAGTTCCCTTTAACAAAATAGAAGCCAGTATATGTTGGCCAACACTCTCATTTATTGTATCTGCTAGTCTTAAATTTTAATTGTTTTTCATAACTTTATCTATTCTGATAAACAATCTCGGGAAATATTGTGAGTAAAACCTCGTACGTTGATAAGTAACAGTATAGCTTAAGTATAAATGTGACAGAATATTTTGTCTTCAGCCTTATCCCTTTTTTATTCGGTAAACAGAACTATAATATTATAATGTTTAAGACTAGGAGCTGTTGGAATCGGGTTTTAGGATCAATTTACTAAGGAGCGTTTCTTGCCAAACTCTTGCAGGCTCCCCTATTGTTTCTGTTTTAATATTTAAAAGTTTATAGGATATCGTGGTCAGTCTCATTTCCAAGAGAGATAATCTATGTGTTTTTATGCCCCTCCTTTAATGCAAATTACTGATAGAGAGATTGGAAAAACGGCGCAAGTCAGTGCAAATAACATGGGTTTTGTATTATGTTTAGTTTCTGTTGGTGGGTATGAAATACACGCTTGATATCATATACACGTTGAAAACTATTTATAAGACAGGTTTATACTATTTAATCAAAAGAAGACAATGGATTTTTATCATGCAGCGTTCGTAAATAATCGAACGTATGACCTAAAAAAAATTTAATAGCAGTATCTTCGCATCAACTATCTATAATCTTAGAGGAAAATCAAAACTTCCTCATCGCGATAAAAACAAGATATATGCTTAGTTAGGCTTGCGTCAACATATTAAAAGTAAATATTTTTTGAAACAGTGATCTTAAAGATAATAAAGTGTAAAGACCTTGGATAACAATGCATTTTCAACGAAAAACGTTCATACAAGCATAACAAATTCATGCTAATAAGACAGTATGAAGTTAAAAAAATAAAATATTTAGTGATAAGGAGTATTTAAATGGTGTTTAATCCTGGCCTCAGGGTTTACTACTAGTACCAGTGTTGTTTTTTTTATCGCTACCATAAGAACTCTTACCTTTCTTAGAGGCGTGGAAGCTATCATCCTTCGGCACGTACTGAATGTCATACACCAACGTGGTGTCAGGCAGAAGGTGTTTGTCCTTGTTTATTTTGTACACAGCGTATTTGAATGCCAACTCTGTACTGCTGTCCTTCTGATCCTGTGTGAATATAGCCCCTGGAAAAATAAAAGAACAAAGCTATGAGTGTGGTATATAATGTTACTATATTATACTGAATTTAACTTCCTCCAAATTAAGCCTTTTTTTTCAAAAGTCTGTCATAAGAAGTTATTACAATATTTTCACGTAAAACCCTTTAAAATTGGCATCGCCTGGTTTGCCAAGTACGATAAAAGCATCTAGTATCCGTTTTCAACATGGAATCTTGATAAGATTATGCAATACACAGTGTTTTTACCATCATTGAACTACTTAAAACACTTTAAGTCTTATTAAATAACATGATACGACAGTAGAAATATTTAGAGGACCAGCGCTATAAAATATCTTACTGATTGAGTCATAGTACTAGATTTGGTACATTTTTTATCTCTATTTTTATCATTACAACGTATCGTGCAGCAACCTACAGCAAAAAAAGTCATCGTTTATAATTTAATACCTAAACTTTACATCTATATTTATTATATGCTATCATTAATATTACATAAACGAGTATTGTAGATTATATTTGTTTATTGCAGGAGAAAGGAGAAGCGAACAAATTGTAATGTAAGGCAGGTGAACTATCGCTTGTCAATCGCCTGCCTAGGCATCTTGATCACAATAAGGGACGTGCCCAAGAGCAGACTAGGGCTCATGGTGACGTCATGAGATTGAGATCGATCTCATCTCGGCAAACTAGGGTTCACTAAGGGCTTACTCTAAAGTCTACAAAAATGCATACACATATTGGATCAATGTACTGAATAGGGAAAGTAGTGCTGAATGAGATTCAATCACGACGCCAGTATACCGGGCACCAATACACGTACCATGCATGTAAAGGGATCTATTTAATTGAATTGTACTAAAGTACAAAAATATTCTATTATAATGTACTTAACATTACATATGATATGAAGACTCGTTTTTATATAGAAGAGTGTAAGGTTTAGTATCTTTAAAAATCAAATCGCCGTAGTTCATGTGAGCCACCATTCTACTGATGTAAATGACTTAATTCTGTAAAAAACTTTTTACGAAGTCAAACTGATGGAACGATTTATTTTGAGCTAGGCCTACAGCAACTGTTAAAGCCCATCAACTATATCAGCAATAGATAAGTAAGTAGATAATAAAATGTTTAGATGCTTTACAGCTGGCCTATAAAGTGGGATGTCTACTTTAGCACTCAATAGTCAATATCCATTATTAATGTTTCAGAATAGGTATATATATTAATCTAAAGAAAATAATATAACAATAAAAAAATAATAATAATCGTTTTAAGGACTTACAGTTTTTCGACCCGTTAAACAACTTCGGGCTATTAAATCCATAGTATCGCCATTTTTTGAAAGTACAAAGAAACAATATCACGTTATGTCAAATATAACTAAAATATAATGCTGTAATATTAATTTGGTAGAGAAGTTTGAACGCTCAATACAATTCTAAATATTTGTGATAGCTTATAATATTTAGTTGCCTTGATACTTTCAGAATGCTTATCTTTAGCTATTTTATTGAGCTAAGACGTACAAAGCTACATAATGTAATGAAAACACTTATTTTTAGACAAATATAGATGAAATGAGTAGTATGTATAGCTGGTCTAAAGCTCCAAGCAGTGCAGTCTAGAGATGATGGGTATGAGCCGTGTCTTCTGCCGTCATTAAGGCCATTGTTAAAGGTTACTTGAGCTTTATAGCCTCCAATGGCAAAGGCTCAGGGTACTTATCACAGCGATGCTTGTCCCAACATGAAATATTCACGATTCTTTCAAACTTCTAAAAATGTAAGTCAATTCAAACGGTATAATTGCTAAAATATTTGTTATATTCCCCCTTAGTTCCTTATATTAATTTTATATTATTACATATGGATTATATCACTGTCAGTATTCTTTGGTACCAATGTATAAATATTATATTTATAAAATTCGTGATACTTAAAAAATTATGTTCGGTTAATTTCTGATTTATTGGACAAGGTAAGAATAAAGAGGTAAGATAAGATTTAAACTGAAGGGTATTTTAATTTATAAAATATATTATTTATCAGCATATTACATCATGATAATGTTTATATTATATCATGAAATGTGAAATCAAAATAGCAATTCTTAAGAAAAAACAATCAATATTATAAATGTCTCTAATTTATGAAATTTATTGTAATGATTGTAATATGAAGTATGTCGGCCAAACAAAACGAAAAATCTGAACTTTATTTAAGGAACACCAAGCCCATGCGAAATACTGAAGACCTGAAAATTTAGCCCTTGCTAGCCAAAATATTAATAGAGAACATATTTTCAATTTGGAAAGCCTTAAAATTTAAAATTAATCGTGAAATCTCTACATTTTAAGGCCTGGGAATCTTATTTTATAGAAAGGAAAAAAAAACTGACCAAAATTATTTGCTAAATAATGAAGACGGCCGAATTATGGACTTTGAATTACTAAAACTAATTACATCAAGAACGTTATTATAATATATGAAAAACTCAAAAGATTACTTTTTAAAGATGTTTTTAAATATTTTTCCAATATCCTTTATATCATCTGTTTCAACCTTATTACAAAATTAATTTATTATTAAGTAAATATATACTTTACTATTAATTTTTACCACAGCCTGAAAATGAAAACGTATTTTTCGAAAGCGTTTGTAGAATTAGCATTACATTACGTAAGATAAGTGTAAATAAATCTTACGTTAAAGGTGTTTTGTTTTGACAGCACATTTCACCTTCAGTCCTTGACACAAAGGGCACGTCGTTGTAATTAAAAGCTAGTTTGATCCACGCTTTTGTCTTTAGACCGCTCATCACAGATGATAATGAGGTTACCTCTAACATCAAGCTAGCAAGATAATGTATGTAGCAAAATACTTCAATCTAAGGTGTAAACAAGAATATTGTAGGCTGGATAAAGTGGCTCACCAACGGTAGACCACTCAATTAATTTCAAACGAAATTTAAAATGGAATGTTTGCTATTACATATTTTTATTAATAAATCAAAACACATTTAACTGTAGCTTTACAGTTTTAGAACTGTAAAGCTAAAGTTCGAAGAATTCACAATTTTAAATGTTATCATGTTAGGTAAAAAAGATTTTATCAGCTTCTTTGTTTTAGATGTATCTGTCTTTATTAAATTATATTTTACCTCGGATGACTAATAATGATCATTATTAAAATTGCATGAATCTAACCTAAAAACGGTTTAAGTTTTCAAATGAAAACGGCAAAATCTAGGTAGTATATGTTTTTGTCACATAAAAAAGCTGAATTGTTTTGAAAAGGGCCTTATCTTCTTTTGTTTCCTAAACCAGCCTTTGTGATTCTTTGTTCAATCGACTGTTCCGATCACCCTCATCCACTTGAATCTTTATCCTCTTCCTTGTATTTCCATCATCAGTCTATAAACTCTGCAAGTGATGCCAGTCGTCTCCGACTGAAGTATACATGAGTCGCACTTGGTCATAAATCCATCCATATTATAATTGAAAGTGTATTTTATTTATATTATATTTTATAAACAGATTTTTCATGTTACAATAACCTGTAAATTGTCAAGTAATAGTAATGAAGATAATCACTTTGATTCCAAATCCTGCAATTTAATAAATAGAAGAAAATTACCTGAAAAAATTGCTATCGTTGTTTTATGAACTAAAGTTATTTAAAAAAAAATAATTTCCGTGTTCATCTAATGCTTCTTGAGAGTATTTCCATAAACATAAAAATACCAATACGTTTAATGCTTTGTATAGATGGCAGTGGTATTAATCGAAATGAAATGAAATGAAAATCGTTTAAGTTAGGACCACATGGCCCTTTCTTAACCCACTCTTGACCCGCATACATATAAATATAAATTGCTATTTATACAGGGTGAATAAAAAGTCAAGACCCCCCCATCTAATATTTTTCCAAGTAAATATACAGAGATATCCTTTTGGGGGTCGTGCAATCTTAGCAGGAAGTTTCATTTTATGATTTTGAAATTTTTGAGTCTCCCCCCAAAAGGGGGGATTTGGGGGGTAACACAAATATTTTAAATGTAAACCCCCTTCAAGTGACACCTCATTTTAAAGTGTTTACCAAAACTTAAAGAATGGTGAAAACCAGAGTTCGCTATCTCTTCTCTATCCAAAATGGTAGCCCGTCAAATGTTGTGGAAAATCAATGGTAAAATTGGTTCGTAATTGTAATATTGGCTACCATTTTGGATAGAGAAGAGATAGCGAACTCTGGTTTTCACCATTCTTTAAGTTTTTGTAAACACTTCAAAATGAGGTGTCACTAAAGGGGGGTTTACGTTTAAAATTTTTGAGTGTCCCCCCAAAAGGGAGGATTGGGTGGGCAACTAAAAACTTTTTAATGTAAAACCCTATCAAGTGACACCTCATTTTGAAGTGTTTACAAAACCTTAAAGAATGGTGAAAACCAGAGTTCGCTATCTCTTCTCTATCCAAAATGGTAGCCAATATTACAATTACGAACCAATTTTACCATTGATTTTCCACAACATTTGACGGGCTACCATTTTGGATAGAGAAGAGATAGCGAACTCTGGTTTTCACCATTCTTTAAGTTTTTGTAAACACTTTAAAATGAGGTGTCACTTGAAGGGGGTTTACATTTAAAATATTTGTGTTACCCCCCAAATCCCCCCTTTTGGGGGGAGACTCAAAAATTTCAAAATCATAAAATGAAACTTCCTGCTAAGATTGCACGACCCCCAAAAGGATATCTCTGTATATTTACTTGGAAAAATATTAGATGGGGGGGTCTTGACTTTTTATTCACCCTGTATAAATAGCAATTTATATTTATATGTATGCGGGTCAAGAGTGGGTTAAGAAAGGGCCATGTGGTCCTAACTTAAACGATTTTCATTTCATTTCATTTCGATTAATACCACTGCCATCTATACAAAGCATTAAACGTATTGGTATTTTTATGTTTATGGAAATACTCTCAAGAAGCATTAGATGAACAC